GAAAATTACCTTTCCCAGGGCAGACATCTGCTGCCTTTGTGTTTTCTGCTCGAAACTGGGCATAGCTGCATTGGAGATATTTTAGAGTTGCACTGACTACATTGTCTTTTGACATAAACAAGACCACTCCTTCAAGAAGTACTTTAAATCAGAAGGCATATAAATCCTCAGGAGAAGATCACCAGTCTGCAAAGATAATTTTGTTTTATGTAGGGCCTATGCTATGTTTCTATAATTTGGAGTAAATCAGTGCTGGCTTTTTAATGGCAGAGATTGACGAAATTATAAAGGACCTCAAATTACTATCTAAATGTTCTCTGTTCTCTTTTGGATGTGTCAATGTTAAAATCTGGTTTTCGACACCTAAACTTTCCCCTCTACTTATAGACAACGCAAAATGAAGTTCACTATTATAACTTCCTCTCTGTCTGAAGTCAACTAGTCCACTCCTTTCCTTCTTTTCCCCTTCTCTCCCCTTCTTTTCTGTTCCTGTTTTCTGTTCCTGGTTTGTCGTGGTGATACTTCTCATGTTTTAAATATTCTGTAATACCTGCAGTGGTTTTTATGAATCAAATAAGTTACCACTGTTTCTATAACTTCTTTACATTTAAAACAATTAAATTGGGGCCTCCCCAGTGGCACAGCAGTTGAGCACTGGGTTGCAAAGCTGCCCGCAGCCTCTGTGGCGCCGGTTCGATCCCCAGCTGCTCCCCGGCCACCGGAGGAGGGTCCCTCATGGCGCACAGACCTCTCCTGCCGCCCGCTGCTCCCCTCAGCAGTGTACTTCGGTCCTTCTGCCTGCTCTGCTCCCCGCTCTGGCTCTGGTGAATTCTCTCACCCTCCCGCGCTTCTGACTGTACCCAGTGCTTGTATAAATAAATAAGCAAATCTTTAAAAATAAAAAATAAAACAATTAAATTATGTAAAGGGAAAAAGCTGTCTTCAACTAAGTGGAATAATAGTAGATAATATATTTTAAGTGACTCTTCACCAATACTCATCTAGGCTTAAAAAAAGATTCAGCTGTCACCTGCCTATTCCAGTTTCTGTATGTGCAATGTAAAAATGCAATGGATACACCCTAGACTTACAAAATACTATAAAACAATGTTATCTTAATAAAAATTTATTTAAAAAAATAAATATGTAAAGGGTAAAAAAAAAATGCCTATCCACTCCAATGCCATTAGTAAAGTCAGCCAACTTGTCAGTATCTCTGTACCTCCTGTGTGGGAGATGTAATAACTTGTAAAGCACATTTTCCAATTACATGGCAAAGGCTTAAGCTAAGGATACAGCCATTCAAATCGTGAGCTATTATCTATGCCCTGACACTCTCTCCTGGTGTCCTATAGGCCAGGTTCTCTCACCTTGTGATGTCACAGACCCTCACGTCCCCTGTGGCTATTCTCTATACATTCACTTATACATCTACACATATGTTCTCTGTACACATATTCCCTCTGGATGATTTTATCCATTTGGGCCATTTTTAATCCTGACTCCCAAATTCGCATCTCTAGGCCCAACATTTCCCCTAGTGTCACACACACCCAGATGCAGGCATAGTCTTTTCACCCTTGTGCCTCTCTCTGTCCTTCCTGTCAGGCTGAGTGGCCCTATGTGAGCTGGCACTCTCCCAACTAGGTTAAGTGAAACAGGTGTTTCTATTCCCAGGTACCATCATGCCTCTGACATCTCCCTTTCTTTACACTAGTCTGCTTTATTATAATCATCTTTCTGATTGTGTGACAAACATTCTTATATCAGCCATATGTGTAATATGTACTCTATGCTGAGACTGTGGAACAAACAGTTCCATTTTTAAATCTATGTGGGTCCTGTGCCTCCCTGGAGCGTAAGGGGTTAAGTCTCAGCACTATGAAGCTGTCAGCAGACACTGCAGCACAAGTTAGAGTTCGATCCCTGGCCAGGGAGCTAACCCACATAGCACAGCAGACCTCTCCTATCTCACCCACTGCTCCCCTCAGCAGTGTATTTCAGTCAGTCTGCCTTTTCTCCCCACTCTGTCTCTGGCGAATCCTCTCACCACCCCCCAACCCCTGGCACTTCTGGCCTGCACCCCAGCTCTTATATGCATAAATAAATAAAAATGAATCTTAAAAAAATCTATGTAAGTCCAGCCAAGTCATTCATTCCAAACTAGTTTGTCTTTAGAGGAAAAAAGCAAAGTAAGGTTCACAGGCATTAATCATTTATTATTACTCTCATTTCTGTTCTAGACTGAGTTGTGGATGTCCTGTAATTAGTGAAATAGCTACTCAACTTGTTTTTATGGTTGTATATCAGGGAAGTCAGGATTACTAGAATGCAGTTTACCTTTTTCAATGGATCCCTTAATTATTGTTACCCCCTATAAATCCAGTGTCGCACCCCCAAATAAGAATAGTTAACTATCATTGAGCACCTTTCTAGATGGGAAATTCACTGCCCTTACTACCATTATCTCATTGCCACCTCCCCCAAATCTAAAGTAAACTCTATTGGCATGCCCCCTTCATAGAGGAAACTAAAGTTTAAGGAGATTGAGTAACATTTTCAAAATCACCCAGCTAGTAACAGGCAGAGTAGATCTCAACTTGTCTCATTCCAGAGAGCTTATGTTCTTAAACACCACCATATATGTTTTCAACCACAGTTAATGGATATGTGAAGCGTTTGCATATAATAGGCCAGTCATCATCAATTATGGAGCCAGACTAAATCTTTTGATTGCAGGCAGACAAAACTAAACAGACCAGTTCTCAGCAATACCAAAACAAGACTGGCCCTGCTAGAAAAGCAGAGAACAAACAACTGCCCAAGTCACAGCCTACCACACTGCATGGCTTATCTCTGCAGCAAAGAACACGTGTGTCTATAAAGACAAGCAGGGATAATGAATGCAGAATACCACCTCTACCTGGTTTTGTCCCAAGTCTTCTTCAACATGATCCCATTCTTGAATATTGGCCTTTTAAATTAACAATCATATGTTGGCAAGAAATGTTTGTTCAGCAAAGATCACAGGCTGAATTGATTTTGCAAGAGATACACATTTTTAACTGCCAATAAATAATTCAGGTTAAGAAAACCCTCAAAAACATACAAAGGGGTGGGGAGAGGGACTCATTGAATCTGGCAGCAGGGAACTGTTTGAGGGGAACTTAGAATCCTAGGACAGGAGAGTGACGCTGAGGCCAGAGACTGCACTTTGGGTGGACCTGTCTTCCTCGTCAGGTAACGGAGTTAGACTCCTATGAATTAGGGAAAGGAAATAATTGAGGTTCTTATAAATATCTTGGTGGCCATTGTCCTTATGCACCATTTTGGCAGTTATCTTTCAGAGGACTCAAATCTATTGGGAAATTAGACAAGTGTCAAAATAGCATTTGGGATAGTTATTTTCCCCCAAATGCCCAGCCCATCCCCAAAATAAACACAGAACTATGGAGTGCCATGTATAGGGTCCCTAAGTAAATTAACAATCTCAGTCCTCAAGAGAGGTATTGACTATTTTACAGACAAGGACGCTTTCTGGAAGGTGGAGAGTTGTGTAAATAGCTAGACTTCCTGGAACCTGCCCATGGCACCTTTGAGGGTCTGTTTGCCTCAAGAATGAGAGGGGGACCTCCCCGGTGGCGCTGGGTTGCAAAGCTGCCCGCGGCCTCTGAGATACCGGTTCAATCCCCGGCTGCTCCCCTGCCACCGGAGAAGGGTCCCACATGGCGCACAGACCTCTCCTGCCGCCCGCTGCTCCCCTCAGCAGTGTACTTCGGTCCTTCTGCCTGCTCTGCTCCCCGCTCTGGCTCTGGTGAATTCTCTCACCCTCCCGCGCTTCTGACTGTACCCAGTGCTTGTATAAATAAATAAATAAATAAATAAATAAACAAACAAACAAACAAATAAATAAATTTAAAAAAAAAAAAAAAGAATGAGAGGGAAACAACCTACCTACCTCAAACAAAAATGTGTTGGCCTCAACTTTGCCACCTGACAGTGACCGTGTGGGAAAGGAAGCTCCACACAAGTGTACTACCGGAGGCAGATGGGGAATCCTTTCTCTGATATGGTGTCTTGTCCTGTCTTCAGATAGCAAGAGAAAGGCCCCAAGAGAATGGAAATCTATATAGTTGGCCTCCCATCGCCCATCATCTGCTACTGAGCATGGCATATGGAGACACTGCATAGATTTAGGGGAAGAAATAAAGCCCATGTGAGAAAATGAGCCAACCAGGACTAAGGCTAAAGACATTATTCTCCCCACCCCATCCCTGAAGACTTCAATTCTGGTTCACAGGAAAGATGACTCCAAAGCTGTGCAAACAAAACTGGGATCATTTTGTGGGTCTTGTGAGCCAGGATTTAAAGCCTGCGGGGAAAGGTGAAATAGAAAGAGTGAATAGGGCAGACTAGGATTGCCAGTGTTTAACTTTTCACCATCCATTCCTAGTGTGAAATTTTTTTTTCCTGCACTTAAATAGTTTATCCTTACCTTTCTTCACATCTGACACATTTATTAAAGCATAGCTGTGCCATTAAGCAATGCAACCCCTATAAGCATTGCTGGAATGAGGCCATTCCTTCAGGCCAAAGGTAGAAGATAAGGGACTTTAAGCAGTTTGTTTGTTATTATAAAGCAAAACCAAACCATTTGCATTTCCAAAGGACTATAATGTGGTGGAGACAAGAGGGTATGAAGGTAGAAACATGAGAAAATAATGGTAACAGCAAGTAAGTCTAAGTAACTCATGACTAAAGGCTGCATTGTTATGCAACATGAGTGTCAGGGGAGCAAGTTTCCAACCTCATGACTCATGTTTCTGTATTACACACATTACTGGATATTTCCTTCATTTTAAAGAAATGTGGACATAACTGTGTATATAAAATGATCTGATATCCAAAGCATGAAAACACAACACCTATCAGGCTAAGAAAAATCTGTTAAGTAAACAGTTATCAGGCACTCTTCCAAGACGGAAAGTTACTCCATCTTTTGAAAAGCACGGAGAAATGACTCTGCCCCAGACCAGCTCACCCCCACCGTCTCTTGCTGGAACCAGATCCTGAACCGCCCAGAGAGAGTCAAGGCTCTGGGAAGTGGACATAAAAACAGCTCCCTCTGCCGCACCCGCACCTCCTCTGTCTCCCCTTTACCTTAAGGTGAGCAGAGAGAGCTCCCAGCTCTGCGCACCTGTAGGCCAGTGGGCCCCCTCTGGTCTTCCTCGTCACCCCATAACGCCGCGAGGGTGACCAAAACAGCCCAGAAAGCGGCTCACACAGACCCACCAGTACCTGCTCGAGGCTTCCCGGCCGCCCCGGGATCGTCCAGCAGGTGCCCGCGACTACACAGCTCTCTCGACCACACGATTTTCACCAACTTTATTGGCCCCCGGCCCCGCCCGGCGGGCCCCTAGTGCCCACCTCCCCACCAGATCGCGCCGGCCCTCCGTGACAAGGAGCATATTCAAAACCACTGCGGGGCAGCTGTGAAAAGAGCCTTTGCTGAGGAAGCAGCGAGCTCCCCGAGGCGGCGTCAGGGTCACTTGCTCTTCGCCTTCTGACTCTCCGTCTTCTTGGGCAGCAGCACGGCCTGGATGTTGGGCAGGACGCCGCCCTGCGCGATGGTCACTTTCCCCAGCAGTTTGTTTAGCTCCTCGTCGTTGCGGATGGCGAGCTGCAGGTGGCGAGGGATAATCCTGGTCTTCTTGTTGTCCCGCGCGGCGTTGCCGGCCAACTCCAGGATCTCCGCCGTCAGGTACTCCAGCACCGCCGCCAGGTACACGGGCGCGCCGGCGCCCACTCGCTCCGCGTAGTTACCTTTGCGCAGCAGCCTGTGCACGCGACCCACCGGGAACTGCAGGCCCGCGCGGGACGACCGGGACTTGGCCTTGGCCCGCACTTTGCCGCCCTGCTTTCCGCGACCAGACATGTCTACCTCCTGGCTGAAACTTCTGCGAGGGAAAACAAGCGCTCCAGCGACCCAGATCCAAGCACGGGAATGCAACGTACCACCCCGGAACTGCCTTTACTACCACTTTGCGGCTGCGAGGCAGCGCCTTCCCATTGGGCGCCCCAACATCCTCGGCACCCCGACCAATGACTAGCAGGCTCCGCGTCCACTAACGCGCGTTGGCAGGAGGGCCTGCCTTTCCCTGCGCTCTCCAATCAGAAGACCAAACTCCCATCCTCATTTGCACAAACGACTGTAGGAATACGCAGGACGCGCCCGCCGCGCGCTTGGCACTTGTGTCTAAGTTATTAACTCCTGAGGCTTCAAGTCCACACTTACTCGCAGGAAAAGAAAGTCTTAAAAATGAAGGAGGCATGGGCCTCCCCTGGTGGCGCAGGCGGCTGAGCGCAGCGTTGTGAGGCTGTCCGCAGCCTCTGCAGCGCGGGTTCGATCCCGGCCGGCTGTAGAGAAGCCCACATGGCAAAGCAGACCTCTCATGTCTCCTGTCTCGCCCGCTGCTCCCCTCAGCAGTGTATTTCAGTCAGTCTGCCTGTTCTGTTCCCCGCTCTGTCTCTGGTGAATGCTCTCATCCTCCCGCAAATCTGGCCTGTACCCTGGTTCTTGTATGCATGAATAAATAAATCTTTAAAAAAAAAAATGAAGGAGGCATGATTAGAAGCAAAAAACCAGAAGAAGAGCTACTCCACGAGTAGAAAGCATGCAAGCAAGAAACGCAATAGAGCTCACGCAGTGTTTCCAGGGTTGCTGTGCGCTTTGACTCACACCTAGAACAGGGTGTGAGTCAACAGCTTTCTGCTCCAGAGCTCGCGCTTCTAGGGAAGGTGCTCCTCAGTGAAATCACCACATCTCTGCTGAATCCTGCCTGTCAGTGCTGGGTTCGTGGACTGTCCCTTTTGAACCAAGTGCCTGCTATTACCCAACGGTGTAGGGAGCTGGCTCCAAAAGGGGCTTCCTATAAAGTTGCCCACCTGAACTTTCCCAAACAGACCAGATGGCTGTGGGCTCCTGTCCAAGTTCTGTAGCTTACAAATGCCAGTCTTCTCACAGAGTCAGACTGACTTTGGTTTTAAGTGTTGAGAAAAGGCAGTATAAATTAGATTCGATCGTATTGCTTAAGTATTCAAGGTTACCGTGTTGAGTCTTCCACCAATCTTTTTTTTTTTTTTTTTGAAGATGTATTTATACAAGCACTGGGTACAGTCAGAAGCTCAGGAGGCTGAGAGGATTCACCAGAGCCAGAGCGGGGAGCAGAACAGGCAGAAGGACCGAAATACACTGCTGAAGGGAGCGGCGGGCGAGACAGGAGAGGTCTGTCGCGCCATGTGGAAATTACCCCCCGCCGGGCGGGAATCGAACCAGCGCCCGCGGAGGCTGCCACAGCTGCACAGCGCTGAGCTCAACCCGCTACGCCACTGGGGAGGCCCGAGTCTTCCGCCAATTTTAAGGCAAAAATAACCAAAAGCTTTCCCCAAACCCCAAAGACCGGTCTTTTGCTTTTTGCCTATTCCACTATTAGAGGGAGGAGGACGAAGTCGCTCTCCCCTAGAGCTCCTCCCACTTTCTCCAGGTTTTCAAGCAGGTCCGTTTTTTTTTTTTTTTAAGATTTATTTATTTACACAAGCACTGGGTACAGTGCTGGAGGGTGAGAGAATTCACCAGAGCCAGAGCGGGGAGCAGAGCAGGCAGAAGGACCGAAGTACACTGCTGAGGGGAGCAGCGGGCGGCAGGAGAGGTCTGCGCGCCATGCGGGACCCTCCTCCGGTGGCCGGGGAGCAGCCGGGGATCGAACCGGCGCTGCAGAGGCTGCGGTCAGCCTCGCAAACCAGCGCTCAACCGCTGCGCCACGGGGGAGACCAGCAGGTCCATTTCAAAGGAAGCCGCGCTTGGGTGCACAGCGCCCTGGGTCAGGGGAGCAGAGGATGTTGCCCTTCGCTTCTCTTTGAGTGCGCTGGGAACTCCTGCCCAAACCTGCCCAGATGTGGTAAAGGCGGTGAAGGGCTAGGCCTTAGCTCCACGGGAAGGTCTTGCGGGACAAAATACAGGGAGTTACGCCGTGCGCCCCGCACGGAGGTGTCCAGCGTTCCTCCGGAATCCCTGCCCAAGAGCCCGGGGGAATGTGACCGCCACGCGGGGACTTACACGGAGCTCGCCCAGCGAGGAACCGCCGCGGCCTTGGATGCGGCGCCCGCGCTGCAACGCCAGGGCTGCACCCTGGACAGCTTCGGCAGCCAGCCTCCAGCCTCCAAAAGACCCTTTGAGGGGCCCCAAAAACTTTAAGACAGGAGCAGGCGATGCTTAACTATGGGGTAAAGGGATAGGGGTGCTTTGATGGTGGCTGTGGTATTGGTACTGGTGATAAACACCTGAGGAGGTGTGAGCCTATTTGCCCAAAACATAAGACAGGCAACCTATTACCTCCATAATAAAAACTACAATTTAAAAAGAAAAGAAAAATACTTAACTGTAGGGGTGGACGTGCGCTAAAGCGCCCTGTGGTAGAAAACCTTGGCTGTAGAAGCAGCTGCTTCGGAGGGAAGCTCCGGGTTAGACTCGGGGTTCGCTTGGAGAGGAGGTTGTGAGCCGCTGGGAGTGGGGTCCCTGGGGCTGCGCCTTGGGGACGCGGCCCCGAGGCTGCGGATGTGGCGTCAGGCAGCAGGGCCTTGCTCTTCTGCTTACTTCGGTTCCTTTCAGGAAAAGGACGCGTCGCTGAACTTGCAAAGAGCACGCCTGAACTGCCGAGGCTTCGGCTGCGGAGCGCACGGCAGCGCGGGTGTGACCTGTCCTCGAGTGGACACGCCGAGGGTTGGTCCTCCGGGTCCCTGTCTCGGGCGCGGCGTCGGGTAGGACAGCGCCGCCAGCAGCAGTCGGCCAGTCCGCGGGCGCGCGCTGTGGTGCTGGGGCTGCGCTCGGGCTCCCGGCCGCGGTGACTAGTCTGCAGCTTCGTCGGCGGCGTTTCAAGTCCGAGGTAACTGAGCACCCCCGCCGACTGCGGGGGCGCAGAGCGCGAACCAAGTATGAGCGGACCCGCAGCTGCGCGGGGCCTCGGAGCGGCGGGCGGTGCGTCCCCTCCGGCGGTGCTTGAACCCCTGAACTAGCTGGCAGTGCGGCCGGGGGCGCGGGGCAGCGTCCTGCTGGACGTCCAGACCCTGTTGGTGCTCAGAACACAGCGCGCTGAGACCCTGGCTTCCGAGAAGCCGCCTGCCGGACTGCGGGAGGGAAGGGAGAGAGCGGTGGGTTGGGTTCTCATAAATTAGGGTGAAAATGGTGTGGGGGAGCGAGCTGTGCAGTCGCGAGGTCGTTCCTAGTGACAGGGAGATGCCGCCGGGATACCTCGAGCAAGGGGCGGCGCAGGGGCCGCCAGGAGGAGCAGCGTGCAACGAACGCAGTTGGGTGGTCGCGGCTACCCCGGGTTGTTATCTTAATTAACCTGTTTATCTGAGAGAAATGGGGATGGATTTAGGACCCCAAAAATGTGATGCGATCCCATGCAACTTTTTTTTTTAAAGATTTATTTATTTATGCATACAAGAGGGCTCACCAGAGACAGAGCGGGGAACAGAACAGGCACATGGACCGAAGTACACTGCTGAGGGGAGCAGGGGGCTGCGCCATGTGGGTCTCCTCCCTGGCCGGGGATCGAACTCGTGCTGCAGTGGCGGACAGCTTCATAGGTTGTTTCTCAGCCCCCTGCGCCATCAGGGAGGATCCATGCAAGTTTAACTTAAGCTAACATTACCTTAACGCTTACATGTAAGCGACAACGTAAAGTTGCTTAGCTGTTTGGAAGTGGTTGCTTGGAGGAGTTTGGCAGCCTTGATCAGCGATATTTGTCTGAATTCCTCAGCGGTGACGAGCACGTAACCGTTTGTTGAGCGTCCAAAAAGAGGGTTGAGCGCAGCGTTGTGAAGCTGTCTGCAGCCTCTGCAGCACCTGTTCGATTCCCGGCGGCCAGGGAGATACCCACATGGCGCGGCAGACCTCTCCTGTCTTGCCCGCTGCTCCCCTCAGCATTGTTTCGGTCTGCCTGCCTGTTCTGCTCCCCGCTCTGTCTCTGGTGAGTTTTCTCACCCTCCTGCGTCTCTGGCCTGTACCCCAGTTCTTGTATAAATAAATCTTAAAAAAAATAAAGCCAGGTAGTTTGGAACACATGGTATTCCATTATTGCTCTCGATTGTCCATTTATGAAGCACTATAGCTTATGCTTTACAGATGAGGATGCTGGTGGCATGGGGTGTGTGAAAGAACTGGAGTCAGGATTTGAACCCAGCTCTGTTGGGTCCCACACCACTGGACCTTAACCATTATGTGCCACTGCTTCTGCTATGGAGGCCTGGTTGCTATTTGCTGGCATTTCAATTCTATGTACTTTCTTCTGCTCCATAAAGACCCAGTGTATCCATGATGCTGGTGTTGATTACACTCCTAGGGCAGTGAGTCCCAGAAGCTCAACTTTTATTAATGCAAATTTTAAAAAAACTGCATTATTTAAAAGGAATAGCAGAGTTTGGCTCACTTCTGTGCTTTTATATTTGTTTTTTTGTTTTGGGTTTTTTTTTTTTGTGCCTTTATATTTGTTGAATGAGTGCATGAGTGAAGTGAAGTAGATAGATTACATTTAAATACTGAATTTAGCAAGAATTGAATTATTGAGGAAGGAGGGTGGAAATAAGCATTCCTATGACAATTCAAAGTATCTATTCCTTAAGTATTTAACTTTACTTATTCCCTAAGTATTTTACTTGGAATGGTTTTAGGTTTTTTTTTTTTTTTGTGACTGACGGTGACTAACACTGCATAATATTATATAAATTCCAGGTGGTCATCATTGAGACTCAGCATGTATATGTATTACATTAAGTTCACCACTAACAGTGGGTCCAACTATTTTTGAAGGCAACATGGTTATTTTCTGGTGAACTTGAAGATAGATTTACCTATGTGCTGAACCTGCAGTTCCACTAGTGGGTGTTGCCTGAGGGAAATAAAGGTACATGTGGATGAGGACATGTGGTCACTGACTTTCTTGGTAGAACAAAGAGTAAGAGCAAAAGCTAGTGGGTGAAAAAACAATTATGGTGAAATAGGATGTGGCAGTCAGGATGAATGG